TATTAGGTATGCATAATATTATCTGCATGGTGGCGGTATCGGCTGAAATTAGCGTTAAATTTCAATATCGGACACGACCATTCCATTAAAATAAGTTGCCGATATAAAAGGCGCTGTTTTTGCCTGCAGCTGCAGCACAACGTGATGACGTTACAGTGGCAGCGCAATGCAATGATGTCACCTGGTCTCATGGCGGAGAGGAAAATTCGAAATGTCGGCAGTGTGGAAGGTTTTTTTCGTTGAGGATGTCGGATTCCGAAGATTTATGAACTACGTTGAGACTTGCTAAATCATCCTCAGTCTGAGATATTTTTCTGACGTAACGTTACTCGAGTTACAAGCCGTCATTTCTGACGTCATTGAGAAGCTAATAGCCGATAGCACGACTTGCTGGGTGAGTTTTAACACAGACATTTGGACGTCGTGTTAGCCCGTTAGCATGATTAGTCTTACAGCACAATGGATAGACAAAAACTTTGAACTTAAAGAGGCTGTCCTTCATGCACAAGAGTGCAGAAGATCCCACACTGCAGCTAGGAACCTGGAACAAGCCTCCACAAGTGAGACAGCATCGCAGGTGACTAATGCTGATAAATAACATTTAACACTTTTCATTTAATATAAATTAAATTGCCATGCATATGGCTGTTACTGAATATATGTCACCAGCTCTTACAGCTGTTACACTATTTTTGTAGCAAATAAGCCTAAATAAGAGGAATATGTTCTGACAAAGAAAAGTATATGAAATATCTATATCGGTTAATAAAACTACTACTTAATACTTGTACTACTATCTCTACTTCACAGTTTTTCACTTATTGCGTGACTTCAGGGTACGGAACCCCCACAATAAATGAGGGACTATTGTATACTTTTACATAATAATTACTTTTGAACAAATCTAGCTCACTTTGGTTTTAGACGTGAGCTGCTGTCTAACTGAAGAACTGCACAATATATTTAATTATGACATTTAAAAAGCTTTTCTTGTTTTCCGTGTGTTGCTTTCTAAAAACTTAGAAAGCCATGATCATCAGTGCTATCCTGTTCATATTTTATGATACAGATGGATTATTTTAATTATTAATCCCCCAAAATAGTTTCTGTTCAGGACAAAGGTTGGCAAAAAAAAAAAAAAAAAAAAAAAGCTACATTGTCTGTAAACAAACAAAAGAGCCAAACGGAAAACTCTGTGTTTTGTCTACACCAGCCAGATGTGTGTGCGTTGTGTCAAACTGTCCACCCGTGCCTGTCTCTGACGCTGTCCTTGTTCTCTGAATGTCCATGACCTCTCAGCCTGTTGGACGACAAACGTTGCCATAAAAACAAATGATCGGCATAACGAGGATAGAGAGAATGAACCACCTTCACATGCTACATTCACACTGTATGTCCTTCTTCTTGTCACACACCACCAACAAATGCCACACAATCCTGTGCACACATACTCACATCGATCTGATGTTTGTGTCATCAATAAGTTATGCATAGCTGTTAAATGGAAAATAAAAATCACCTCATCTCCTCCACTACCCTTCACACCAGTCATGTCCCACTTTCAGTTCATTGATTTGCATTTGTCGTGGTACCTGTTGAAGCTCCGTACGTTTGTTTAATTTACCTGTTCAGTTCACTCCTTCATCCCCTCATCCCCATGGTGTTTGTGTTTGTTTTTGTTCCCTCCTCAGAGATTCATCCATCCGTCTGAGCACCCTGTTCTCTCCATCCCCTTCATAGGAATGATTATAATTGTGGCTGTGGTCTGGTGCTGGTTGTCGGAGCTGGCGTCCCAGAGAGCAAGGTATGGGAGGAACCTGTCACTATTTGATGCACAATATACACAAAGTGGATCGTTAGTTCATCCAAAACGGCACCAAGAAAATCTGAATGGCCTATTTTTTATGGAGCATTGCAGAGCTGCAGTTTTAGTTTGATATTATTTCAGATTCTGTGATGAGAGGGAAAACTGTTTCTGGAAATTAATTAGCACTCCAGTACAGTCTGCTCCTCCATGAGCAGAAAGCAGCTCAGTTAGACACCAGGGATGCGTGGCAGCAAATTAATATTTAATTTTTGTTTCAAAAAAGAAACCTTCGAGTTCAACTAAAACAATTAAACTCTTAGTGAAGAACAAATATTAAAAAGCATGCTCCTAATTTTTAGGCTGAATGAAAGAATTTAATTTATTCTCAGCAGATTACAAATGTTTACTGAACAAGTGAAGTACATATTTTATTTAGGAAAAAAAAAGACACTACAGACAAATGTAATAAAATATTTCCAGAGGTAATTTTGTTGGTATTTAAGTGAAAATAATCCTTTAGCTTATATAAACAACGAGGCTTTGTGGTCAGGGCTTATTTGGTGCATGTGGGAACACAAAGGAAATTACAGAAAATATTATCAGCTAATGAAAATACTCTTTTAATTAGATTTGATGGTTTTTGTTAATGTGTACTTTAAAGGTCATTGTGGTGGGACAGGTGGGCAGTTTGACAAAAATACAAAATACTTCTCTTGAGAGGCAAAGGGCACGACATTTTTTAAATTGTTTTATACATTTTTACAGCTTTTGGAAATACACTTCACTGTTTTCTTCAAAGATTCAGAAATTTGCACATATTTGTCTTATAATCAGTAATATAAGTAATGTGAACATTTATGTGTAATTTAATTATAGATGGGTTAAAACGGGATTACTGTTCAAAAAAACATTATTTTAGTTAAGAAACTTTGCGTCAGGTTTGCTTTTTCCCCTTTTGTATGAAAGGCTCACTTTATGATCCTGCCTCTTAAGAGATCCATTTTTATTTAAAACTTCAAACACATAAACATGTTTTGTTTTTTCATTGTTTCGAAAGATGCCAACCAGAGACTCTTGGAGCAAAAACTGTTAGAATATTGACACAGTTCAATATTAAACCTAATTTATTAAAAATGTTTCTTTTTCTTGTTCTTGTTCTTCTTGTTCTGTTTTTATTATTGTTCTTCTTGCTCTTGTTTTGGTTCTTGTTTGTCTTGTTCTTGTTCTTTTTCTTATTTTAGTTCTTCTTTTTCTTGTTCTTCTTGTTCTTCTTGCTCTTGTTTTTGTTCTTGTTTGTCTTGTTCTTGTTCTTTTTCTTCTTTTGGTTCTTCTTTTTCTTGTTCTTCTTGTTCTTGTTCTTATTCTTCTAACAACATTAGAACTCCATGCTTGGATTGCAAAAATGATGATTCAAATCAGAAAAGTCATCATTTATTCTTTATTTTCCTTGTTAAAGTGCATAGTTCATGGATTAACAGTCACATAACACATTTAATTCTGACAAGTTTACACTCATCTTAAACTCACAAATCAAAACAATTATCTCGTGTTTATTCAGCTTGTACATAATTGGAAATGTGAAAACAATAAATTGTAGTTTGGGGGAAGTAATCAGGACTTTACCCTGGGCCGTTGTAGCTCTGTGGGTAGCACGGCCGTCTTGTAATTCTGAGGCTGTTGGTTTGAGTCCAGGTTGTGTCAGGAGAGGCATCCGGTGTAAAACAATTACCAAATCTTTCACATGGTGACCCCTGAAGAAGGGAGCAGCTGAAAGAAAAACAAAAACCCTTTACCACAACCAGTGGGAACAAAGGCAGCATTTAATGTTGGGTATCAACAAATACTTAGTTGTGTCTTGTATTTCATTTAATTTTGTTTTAAAACATCAAGTTACTCTGTGATGATTTAAGAGCTTTAGATTTCTTAAAATGTGGACGCTTGTCTTGAATCATCTATAGAAGACAGAAAGTCACAACGGGCTCTTAATGCGTCTCTTGTCATGTTTTCCCTCAGGGGAGTGAGGTAGGTTGGAACTCCATTGTGACTCTTACTGCAGCCACTGCACTCATGCTAGCCATGGCTAGCTTCCTGAGAGCCTTCGTGCGATGTTGACTGGATGGGAAACAGCTGCACGCGGGTGGACGTCTGCTTCAGACCAGCCTTCGTTCTCTCCCACCACGTCCATAGACTAAACAGGAATTATTTAAATGTGATACAACTGGTGACAGTGGTAGAAAACATGTGAATGGGTTAAGTCTAATGAGTCGGTACCAAAGGCGCACACAGACGGAGAACGATGCAGACAGAAAGCACTGACGACAATGAGCTGACCTTCAGCCCACGTATGGAGTTATTATGTCTAATAAATGTATTGTGAGGTGTCATTTGTCTTCTGGTCAACAAACATGATGTTTTTCTCTTTTAACAATGTGACAATATGAAGGTCTGACTTGTTAATGCTCACTAAACAGACTTAATTTAATTTAGCTATTTTTATTTATTCTATTGGTTGAATTTTGCTTGATTATAGTGACAGATGTTCAGGACGCTGAGTTCGCTGAAAATAAACATGTAAAACTTTCAGAAAATGAGCTGTTAGAGATCAGATACTTATCACAGATCAAGACATTTGTTTTACGCAGACCTTCCTTTAGATTTTGATTCATTTATTTAAAACATACAAATAACTGAATCCCTGACAATCCTTGCTGTAATGCAACCTCTGATATATGAAGTCATCCTTTTATTAGTAACTAATGTACAGGGACATTTTTATGATCTAACTTGGTATCTTCAGTCTTTTAGAAAAAGTTTTTTTTAACAACTCTGGGGGGCCCAAATGAGCGCTGTGGACATCTTTTCTTACATTTCAGCTCCATGTCAACTAGATATTATATTTCTGTTGGTATTTAATTGGCTTATTCTTCTGAGATGAATGTAGAAAATGGTTCTTCAGCTTTCTCATGGTACACAGTTTGAATGGACCGCCAGTTGTTTTTTGTAAAATACGAACAAACTTGACTGATTTCTTTCCACAGATGAAATAAATCTGATTTATGGACACGGTTGGTTTGTTTGAGGGTTCAAAATGTGTAAATAGGAAGACGTCACAAGAAATATTTGAAGCATTAATTGCATTTTATGTGTTGAAGGAATCTGTTTACATTTGTGAAATGTTCTTTTTTGTGACAGTTTTTTAGAGGTTAAACAAGCATGGTAGAAAATGTAGAAGTTCAGTATTTATGTTGGTTCTGTGCTACTTTGTATTCATGTAAATAGACGTGACATAAAGCACTTATGGGAGAAATAATGTTCTTAAGTCCATTTGTACTAGCTTTGTAGAAAGTTTACTCTATTTTGACAGAGTGTCATATATTTGATAACCAAATTCTAAGCTATGTTTATTTATGGGGACTTTATTCATTATTAGTATTTTAAATCATTTTCTCTACCCCCACCCACCCGTGTTCAAACACCATGTAACCATTTAAACTGGTGCTGACACTAGTTGCTGGGAAACACAAAATAACTCATTTTTTCACTTGGCTGAGTTTTAGAAATAAAACCGAACATTTCTCTCAGACATTTATCATTCAACTGAACCTTAACAAGCATTCCACGTGTGAGCATAAACACTGAGGATGTGCCACAAGACCAATTCACAGTAGGAAGTGAAGCCCTAAAAATATTGTACAAGTAAAAACTTCTTTATTTCTGAGTTTATTTTAGAGCATCATTTCAGAAGGCTCTATGTCGCACCGTGTTTCAAAGCTTGCTGCTTTACCTGTCTGCATTGTTGTTTTCAATATATCTGTGACTATTTTGTTACTTGGAGGTCTATTTTGCACTGCAAATGACTTGAGGAAATAAATATATCCAACCCAAGCATGGCGTCTGACTCCTGTCTTTTCCTGGGTGCTGGTCTCACCGACGATCACAAGGTCTGAGGTCTCGCTGGGAGCTCCATTCATGAAAACATCCATCCAGAGTAAGAACCATCTCGTTGCTGGTGTCGTGTTACAGGCGTGTATGGGTATTAATAATCTTCCTTCAGAGACGTGGAATGGTCTCAGGTCGTTTCTTGGCAGATGGCAGGAGCTGGTGTGTCAACGTCTCTGATGAGACCTCTAAAACTGCACTCATTACTGCACCGCCACAGCTCACGCTTTACTAAGATTAGCTTCAGATAATGAACTCAAAGTATCTTGGTTGGGAATCTGTGTAAAAATATAAAAGAAGCTTCACTGTGTAGCCTTCTGTTCCTTTTAAAGCAAATTAGTTTCCCAAGTCTGCTCCCTTAGGATCCTGAACCAGGACCCATTCTGTGTCAGAGCTACAGCTAAAGGATTAAAAAGTGCCTAAATGGCCTAATCAAATTGCCGTTGGCTTTGGTCCTATCTGTGCAGCAAATTCACCCCAAATCCCTTCCTAAATGTTTAATGTATTCATCTGACAGGCTAACAGGGACAAAGCTAATTAAAAAAGGTGAAAAGCAGACTGTGAAAGCGGCCGTGGGCAGTCTGTGGAGATAAAATGTCAACTGTCCAGGTCAACACATGTAGCTCTGTGACGTGTCTCCTGCTTGGGTTTAGTCACGCACACACAGCTACATAAATAACAAAATATTCAAAAATACTTAAAATTATGTTAAAACTTAGAACTTTAGCACTTTTAGGAAAAAAGTTGCTTTATTTATTTTAAATGAATGCAGTTTTGCGTAACAGACATCTCAAATTAGGACTTTTTATAATTCTTGATCATTTTATTCAAACATAAGAGCTACATCCACTGTCAGTTTCATAAACGGACTCTTTCATTTTTATTTGTATTTGTAAAGAGCTGATGAAGAAATTTGGTTTAAAGAATATCTCAATATGATCAACCCTACTTCTACAGTAAGATATATGTGGACAATGCTCAAATAACTCCTCTGGGGTGCTGATCACAGAAAGGGACTCAGATATAAAAGAGCGTTCCAACTCAGTGTCAAGAACATTAATAACCAACAGTTCAACAATGTTAAGCCAATTAGTAAAGTTCTCTATCTAAGGAATCCAGGTCTCAGGCTTTTCTCAAGATTAGTACCTCGATCTTATTCAGACCACACCCCAATGAAACTAATCACCTCCTCCTCCCTGTGGAATAATTAAAAAAACATCTAAAGACCTTTAACTGAGCTGGAGGAAATTAATGTTCAATTTATCTAAAAAAAAATAACAAAGAATTATCAAAATCTAATTTCGCTCACCTCATGAACTTAGTATGGAGGTGGATTTTAAATGTGTTTTAGTCTTTAGACATTTCACATAAAGTTATTAATGCTCAACATGATCCCCCTCCCTGGGCTGCCACCTTACCATGATGGAGGGGTTTGAGTGTCCCAATGATCCTAGGAGCTACGCTGTCAGGGGCTTTACGCCCCTAGTAGGGTCACCCAAGGCAGACAGGTCCTAGGTGAGGGATCAGACAAAGTGCAGCCCAAAGACCCCTATGATGAGAAAAAGAAATGGACTTGATGTTCCCTCGCCCGGACGTGGGTCACTGGGGCCCCACTCTGAAGCCAGGCCTGGAGGTGGGGCATGCGGGCGAGCGCCTGGTGGCTGGGCTTTTACCCATGGAGCTTGTCCGGGCACAGCCCGAAGAGGAGACGTGGGTCCCCCTTCCCATGGGCTCACCACCTGTGGGAGGAGCCAAAGGGGTCGGGTGCAATGTGGGATGGGTGGTGGCCGAGGGCGGGGACCCTGGCGGTCTGATCCTCGGCTACAGAAGCTGGCTTTTGGGATGAGGAATGTCACTTCACTGCTGGGAAAGGAGCCTGAGCTAGTGTGTGAGGTTGAGAGGTTACGACTAGAAATAGTCGGACTCACCTCTACGCATGGCTCTGGCTCTGGAACCAGTTTCCTTGAGAGGGGTTGCCCCTGGTGAGAGGTGCCGAGCAGCAGTGGGCATACTTATTACCCCCCATCTTGGTGCCTGTGTGTTGGGGTTCACCCCGGTGATTGAAAGGGTGGCCTCCCTCCGCCTACGTGTGGGGGGACAGGTTCTGACTGTCATTTGTGTTTATGCACCAAACGGCACTTCAGATTATCCACCCTTTTTGGAGTCCTTGGAGGGGGTACTGGAAAGTGCACCTGGGGACTACCTTGTTCTGCTGGGGGACTTCAGTGCTCACGTGAGCAATGGCAGTGAGACCTGGAGGGGTGTGGTTGGGAGGAACCCCCCCCCCCACCCCGATCCGAACCGAGTGGTGTTCTGTTGTTGGACTTCTGTGCTCATCATGGATTGCCAATAACGAACATCATGTTCAAGCATAAGGGTGTCCATATGTGCTCTTGGCACCAGGACACCCTAGGTCGCAGTTCGATGACTGACTTTGTCGTCGTCTCATCTGATCTGCGGCCACATGTCTTGGACACTCGGGTGAAGAGAGGGGCGGAGCTGTCCACTAATCACTACCTGGTGGTGAGTTGGCTCCGATGGTGCGGGAGGATGCTGGTCAAACCTGGCAGACCCAAACGTATTGTGAGGGTTTGCTGGGAATGTCTGGCAGAGTCTCCTGTGAGACGGAGTTTTAACTCCCACTTCCAGGGGAACTTTGAACATGTTCTGGGGGAAGTGGGGGACATTGAGTCCGAGTGGGCCATGCCTCTATTGTCGAGGCAGCTTACTGGAGCTGCGGCCGCAAGGTTGTCGGTGCCTGTCGTGGCGGCAACCCTCGAACCCGGTGGTGGACACGGTCGGTGAGGGATGCTGTCAGGCTGAAGAAGGAGTACTATTGGGCATTTTTGGCCTGTGGGACCCCGGAAGCAGCTGATGGGTACTGGAGGTCCAAGTGGCATGCGGCTCGGGTGGTCGCTGAGGCAAAAACTCAGGCATGGGAGGAGTTCGAAGAGGCCATGGAGAACGACTTCCGCATGGGTTCGAGGTGATTCTGATCCACCATCCGGCATCTCAGGGGGAGAAAGCGGTATACCACCAACACTGTTTATAGTGGGAGTGGTGTGCTGCTGACCTCAACTCAGGATGTCGGGGGTCGGTGGGCAGAGTACTTTGAAGATCTCCTCAATCACACCGGCACGTCTTCCACTGAGGAAGCGGAGCCTGGAGATTCTGGGTCGGGCCCTCCAATCTCTGGTGCTGAGGTCACCGAGGTGGTTAAAAAGCTCCTCAGTGGCAGGGTCCCAGGGGTGGATGAGATTCACCTGGAGTTCCTTAAGGCTCTGGATGTTGTAGGGTTGTGTTGGCTTACGCGACTCTGCAATATTGTGTAGACATTGGGGGACGTCCCCCTGGATTGGCAAATCGGGGTGGTGGTCCCCCTATTCAAAAAGGGGGACTGTAGAGTGTGTTCCAACTACAGGGGGATCATGCTCTTAAGCCTCCCTGGTAAGGTCTATTCAGGGGTTCTGGAGAGGAGGGTCCGTCGGATAGTCGAACCTCAGATTCAGGAGGAGCAGTGCGGTTTTCGTCCTGGTCGTGGAACACTGGACCAGCTCTACACTCTCAGCAGGGTCATGGAGGGTGCGTGAGAGTTTGCCCAACTGGTCTACATGTGCTTTGTGGACTTGGAGAAGGCGTTCGACCGCGTCCCTCGGGGAACCCTGTGGGGTGTACTCTGGGAGTATGGGGTACCGGGCCATTTGATACGGGCTGTTAGGTCCCTGTATGACCGGTGTCAGAGCCTGGTCTGCATTGCCGGCAGTAAGTCGGGCTTGTTCCCGGTGAGAGTTGAACTCCGCCAAGGTTGCCCTTTGTCACAGTTCATAACTTTTATGGACAGAATTTCTAGGCGCAGCCAAGGTGTTGAGGGGATCCGTTTTGGTGGCCTTAGGATTGCGTCTCTGCTTTTTGCAGATGATGTGGTACTATTGGCTTCATCAGATCGTGATCTACAGCTTTCGCTGGAGCGGTTCACAGCCGAGTGTGACACGGCCGGGATGAACTTCAGTTCCTCCAAATCTGAGGCCATAATCTTGAGCCGGAAAAGGGTAGAGTGCCCTCTCCGTGTCAGGGAGGAGGTCCTACCCCAAGTGGAGGAGTTCAAGTATCTTGAGGTCTTGTTCACAAATGAGGGAAAAATGGAACTTGAGCATGATAGGTGGGTAGGTGCAGCGTCTGCTGTGAAGTGGGCGCTGTACAGGTCTGTTGTAGTGAAGAGAGAGCTGAGTCAAAAAGCGAAGCTCTCAATTTACCGATCGATCTACGTTCCTACCCTCATCTATGGTCATGAGCTTTGGGTTGTGACCGAAAGAATGAGATCTCTGATACAAACGGCCGAAATGAGTTTTCTCCGCAGGGTGTCTGGGCTCTCCCTTAGAGATAGGGTGAGAAGCTCGATCATCTGGGAGGGACTCAGAGTAGAGCCGCTGCTTCTCCACGTCGAGAGGAGCCAGTTGAGGTGGCTCGGGCATCTGGTTAGGATGCCTCCTGGATGCCTCCCTGGTGAGGTGTTCCAGACACGTCCCACCGGGAGGAGACCCAGAGGAAAACCCATGACACGCTGGAGGGACTATGTTTCTCGGCTGGCCTGGGAACGCCTCGGGATTCCCCTGGAGGAGCTGGACCAAGTGGCTGGGGAGAGGGAAGTCTGGGCCTCCCTACTTAGGCTGCTATCCCCACGACCCGACCCCGGATAAGCGGAAGAAAATGGATGGATGGATGGATGGATGGATGATCATGTTTACAAACACTTAATATGTCATTCATTCCTTCATTCAACCTTTATTTATGTGGGCTAGTCTCATTTAGCCACGAGGACTCATTTACAAGAGAGACCTGTTCCAGACAGAACATATAAAGTACAGACAACAATAATAAACAACAATAACAATAAACTACAGTAAAATGCAATTAAAATATGAATAGTGTATAAAACATT